AAATGCGAGTTACTTGAGATTTATTCACATGCTTAAAAACAATAATTGCACTGAAAAAGAAAAAAATTAAACTGGTAAAATCTCAAGTAATAATTTAAAATATTTCAAAAATGACATTTTTGTGTTACTTTTTTAAGTGGACAAACTTTAAAAACATTAAAAATCTCTTTGAGGACAAACATATGACTAGAAAATATACTTATGGATAAAAAAGTACTTATAGCTTTATATTGACAAATACATCATTTGTAGCCTTTGTAGCAAGTGAAATCAATTAGACTAACTTGTAAAACAAAGAACATTTGTATTGAAAACAATTCAAATACAAACAAAGATAGAATCTTACTTTCAGAAAGGTAAACTAATCTCTCATCCCTACTCCCTCATTAAAACACACACACACACACACACACACACACACACGTTTTTTAAAGTTGCATTCAAAGGTCTTGCCATGAACAGAAATGTTGCCTGTGACTGGACTGGTGGACAGCAGGAAGCCAGACAAAAAAGAATGGCCAGAACAAGGTGCCAGAATGAAGAGGGCAAGTCATTCATACAGGATCTGTTAACCCCTAAAGGGTACATTACTTCCTATGTCCATCAGTTAGGGTAAATACTTCTAACTTAAATAACTGAGATATATTTTACAATCAGAAGGTTAATATTCTGATATGAACATGCGAATGAAAAAGATTCATTCTCTGATATGCTCTCAATGAGATATATTTTATAACTGCAAAAAAGATTCATAACTCTGATTTGAAAAAATAAAATATTCACTGAAAATAAAAGTTTGAGTGAGAAGAAATGTTTCAGAGTTCAGCACTACCAGCTGTATCTGTAACTAAAACTAAGCACATGAATATAATTTTTAGATGGAAGCCTAAATTACAAAATGCTTTTCAGAATTCCTTAAATAAGTGACTAGGGGACAACCTAGTGCAAAGACTAACATGACCCAAGAGTCAATGGTTCAAATGCCAAGTGCTAAAGCAATTTTTTCAAAATGATAAAAAATAAGGATCTTTTTTTTGTTTGTTTTTGAGTAGGAGTTTTAATCTGTCACCCAGGCTAGGGTGCAGTGGCACGCTCACAACCACCGCAGCCTCAGCCTGCTAGGCTCAAGTGATCCCTTCCAACTTAGTCTTCCAAATAGCTGGAACTACAGGTGTGCACCACCATGCCTAGCTAATTTTTTAATTTATTTTAAAGACGAGGTCTCATCTGATCCCTGGGCTCAGGCAATCCTCTCGCCTCTCCCTCCCAAAGTGCTGGGATTACAGGCATGAGCCACAAACCTCAAGTGAGATCCTTTTCTTAAGACAGACATTCAAATCTTTTGTTTTAAAAGTTGTTCATTAGATTCTCCAAGTAATATCCACTAACAGGAAATAAAAATATTAGTCTTACTACAGCAAGCATAGCCTAGAACACCAAATTTTTGCCTAAGATCACGTTTTTAAAAATAATTTTTAATAATTAAATACTTTTTATTTTATTTTAAAGATGTGGGGTACAATTCAGGATTAGGTATACAAGTGGACATTGTACACATAAAATTTGGGTCACCTTCTGGTCCCCACTTTGCCTGGTATTTAAATACTTTTTACATATTGTGAAAAATAGTGCTTCATATTAAGGTTGCCTTGAGTTCTGCAATCTTTAATTAAAAAACTGGAAGCATTATCCCTTAGCAAAACTTCTGAACATACTAGTCCTGTATTAAGTATTTCTAACATTTTCATTAAAATGTCAAACGAAATTGACTTTTAAGAAAGTAATGTTTACTACTGTTGAGGAAGAAAAGGCATACCTAAAGCACAAATACTAAATGTATCATATGCACATTCTTTAAAATTTGGAAATCTAGTCATATTTCTGTCTACTGGTGCTAAGTTGCATTCTTGTATAGCTAATTCCATATAATACAATTCTATGCAAATTCACACGTGTTCTTGAAAACAACAGAAAGATGTAAAAAATATAAAACTAAAAGTACACACCCCTTTCTCTACACTGCTCATTCTATGTAGGGCTGTTAATAAGTGGCAGGCTATCTCACTATTAAATTCTCATGTATATTCAACAACTACATACTCGCACCTTCTATACAAGGCCTTGACAAAGTCTGCACCACTAAGAACAAGACAGGACTCTGTATAGAGTTTATCCACAGCCATTAACCAGACATCACACAAATAAAGTAAATACACAACTCTGACTGACATAACGAAACTATATATGAAGCTCTGAACAGAACATTACCTATGCTAAAAGCAATGGGAATTCATTTAAAAGGGCTTAAGCTGGGGAATAGCAAGATCACAATGAACCTTAATTTGCTTAATTGTAAATGTCAAAAAACTGGCATATGGATTTCTGAATGCAAATCTACTTTTGTATACCAAGTACACACACCAATTCAAACAGACCCTCTGATGAAATCTGAGATTAGGATTCCTACCTTAAGTGTTTCATCAGTTTGTGTGTGTGTGCATTTTATAAAGCAAAATTCATTTATAACTAAAGAAAAGTACCAGGGGAGAAATGGAAGGGTACAGAACCATTCATAAACACTGGGAAAGAGTCTGCAGGGTGTCCAGTCATCAATAATTAATCTCCAAAGGGCATTCTTAAGCCACAACAATACTGTCTTCACTGTTTTTGTTTCAATTTTACTCAAGTGAAAATTAGCTTAAGGACATATGTAAGGCTTCATTTAATTACACCTGGTTTACTTTATAGTTAAGAAACTAGCATTATGCAGAACAGTTGGCATAAATTAGATCCAATTTTATTGTATTGGATTCGTTTATTTATCCATGTTATTTACATTATTAGGTCCATTTATTTTATTTTACTCAACTAATTTTATTTCTCACTAAATGTTTACGAAATTAAATTTACATTTATAGCAACCGAGTTTAATCTAGGAGTAGAAAAAATAAAAAATAATTTTACTCAACAAAGACCTGGCTTATAAGTAAAAGAATGCACAAAAATCTAGGGAGGGAGCTTATCTTCCTCCCCAATACTTTTTAAAACCATAACATCTCTACTGTATTTTTTTAAATACAGTCCACATTTGATTATTTTTCCTAAGAAAGAATGATTATAGAAATAAGTCAGAGCACTGCATGTTCTATGTTCCAACTTCACTGTAACTTCAGCATTTGAGACTTAAAGATACAATGTGTCAAATGGTGTAAATACTTGGGCTGAAGAGCCCATTTCTCAAATTGTATCATAAACATAGCTACTTTCTAGCCCAAATATTTCCTAGTACCCACACATACTTCTCATCTCAAAAATAAAATATCATGTTGAAGAAACTTTTCAAAACTGTAGTTCAACAATATTTACCATCCTAAGAGTACAAGATAACATAAAAATAAGTTCAATTTCTCACAAAAATTTTCTTTAATTATCCTCTTGTAATATACTCAAAGTATTATGAGATTTCTTTTTCTAGAATCAGATACAATTATATTTGCACAACTGAAAAATAAAAGCAGATGAAAACTGCTAATCTTATATTAGTAAATACGTTTCTACAAAAATATCAATACATTGTCATATTTATTTCTTAAACTGCAATTGCTTTTTCACATCAAATTTTATCCCTATAATTCAAATAAAATGTAAAAACAAGGCCAATAATGATGTTAATACAGATGTTCACAGTCCTGGGAAAGACAAAAAGTACTTAAAATATTAACGTTTTGTAATAACTAGCAGATAAACTACTTTATTAATAAATAAATATATTTATTTACTTAAATCACATGCTTATCCTTGGGTACTGCAATTAATAACAATTAGCTTTTTAGACAACTGCTTCTAATAGGGATTGGTGCCCAATAAATACCACCTAACATTTAAAAAGAACTAATTTAGAATTTGATAAGTAATCTACAGAAACAAATTAGCTAAATATAAGGAAATGAAATCAAGAAGAACCAGTTCCAGACACAAGGTCATAAATCATAATTATTAACTACAAAATCAAAGAAGATTCTAAAAAATACTCTGAACCTTAAATCCAATAGTAATTTTATTTCTAAATACTCACCTGATTATATGGTCACATCCTTCATTTAAACTTTTTTGCTAACTGCCATATATAAGTGTTATATACAAAAGTTTCAAAGCTAAATAGGCCATTTAGATATCTCCTGAAAATCAGACTGCTTATTCTAAATAAGACTACATCTGTTTTACATTCAAATGACATTAAAAATTTTATCTGCCTTTCTTCCCAGTCTTTAAAAAGAACATGCACTCACTGGTTTAGTAAAACCATGAACAAACTACAAAATGATCCAAAAATCCACATTTTAAAAAAAACAAACACAACTAATGAATGGACATTTCTTCTTCTGGCTAAAACATGTTTGAAAAACAGATAAAATTATGGAAAATACAGCAAAGTGTGCATGTCTCTATGCCTACAAGTGAATTGGTGGGTGAATGTGGGGGGGGGAGGACAAAGAGAGAGGGAAAGAAAAAAAATGTGTGCTTTATTTTAAAGATTTTTAAAGTGAAAAGTTTCATTTTCAAATATAAGTGAATGGCTCACTAAGACTTTGGGGGAACTTTTAAAAACAAGTAGAGACCTCATTTTTATTTCCTAGAACTCCACATGCATATCCACATATGCACATTCACACACACTCCCCCCCTTCTCTAGTAAAGCAAGGCCCTTTCCTACTTAACATAAGGCAATAATAAAATCAAAATTCATATTCTTTAAAATGAAAGGCATTCCACTGGTGATCCTGATTCAACAATTTTACAGTTAAACAAAATTAATTCCACTCTCAAAAATCCATTGACCTTAAGCTTTTAACAAACATTTTCTACTGCAGAAATTATTGTCAATATTTACAAATCTTTAAAATTATATTTGGCTGGAATCCCTTGCATTTGCTATATTAATATTTCTTAGTAAATGTATTCTCATCCCTATCAGCACAGAAGGAACAGCTGCTACTCACTGGGAATCTCTGGGGTCCCACGGCAGGTCTTGGCTGGCTCGGAACTGGCAGCAAGGGCACTGCAAGAAAAACACCTTGCATTACAAACACAATTTACTTAACATGCAAACCCACTGGAAAAGGAAAATAATCTGGGAAGTTTAATTCAAGACATATACTATATGTATCAAACATATAATACATTAAGTTTACACTTAAGCTAATTATTTAGTATTTTTAACAATTCCATAAAAGAAAAAGAGAGAAGTTTTCAGTTACAATAGCACAAGCAGAAACTTAAATCTCAATATTCTATTATTATTTGGAATTAAAATATTTTACAATACAAAAAGAGAGTTTTCCTCTAAAATAAAAAACCTAGTTTGTTTTTCACGTCCCTATACAATTCATCCAGGCTACTGACCTCATTATATTTTTGACCCTAATCAGACACAAACTTAAATCTAAATCCTCTGGAATCATGAAAGAGAGAGGAGGGAGGAAGTGAGGCAGGCAGAGAAAAAAAAAACAGGATATACTGGGATTTTTAGAAAATGCTCACATACCATTACAAAAAGTGATTGACTAACAATCTACTATGCCAAAACTTTTATTTTTGTTTTTAAGCAAGCAGAACTCCCACCTATCTATCGAAGAACAAGGAATCAAATCATTTTTAAAAAGACATTTCACAATAGAAAAGAAGCAAGATTTTAGTTTCACACCTTGGGACTAAACCAGATATGTTTCAGTTCTTTAAAACTTATCATATGCTGTATTGATCTTGATTTTGAAAAAACTCATCAACTAGAGTAGAGGCCACATCTTCCATTAAAACATGCTGGCAGATGCACCTAGAAGCTCCTCGATGGCCAGATGATATGAGCTTATTGGCCACCTACCCTACCCCAAATTCCTATGTTGAAACCTCAGCCTGTAGTACCTGAGAAGGTGACTGCATTCCACTGTTAAGGTCTTTAAAAGAGGTAAATGAGGTCGTTACAGTAGGCCCTAATCCAACCAGGCTAGTGTCCTTATAAGAAGGAGAAATTCAGACACAGGCAAGTGCACACACAAAGGAAAGATAATGAAGACAAAGGGAGAAAATAGCTAACTACAAGCCAAGCAAACAGGCCTCTGGAGGAACCAGCCCTACCAAAACCTTAATCTTGAAATTCCACCCTCCAGAACTGTGAGAAAGAAAAGTCGCTGTTTAGGACCCTTCTTACCTCCAAAGTCTGTAGTACTTGTTACAGAGCCTTAGCAGACTATTACACATCAGGTAAAATTTACAATGTAGCATATTTTTAATTTAAGAGGTTTCTGGTAAATGACAAATATAGAGATGATATATCTTAAGAGTCCATCAAAATTACCTTGAAAATAAAGTGCTAGGATAAACTATGTTTTATTTACTATGATTACTCAAGGAATTCTGTACGTTAAGCCTTATGACTGACATACTTCCCACAGGTTCAACTTAAAGTGATAGATAGTCATATATGGACCTGTGTCACTGCTTGATCAAAGCAATGAGACAAACTCATTTTTACAAAATGTAAAAATAGCAGAGGTCCACCTCCTCTTTTTGAGATACTAATTCACTGAGTCGAAATTTCAAAATCAAAGTGGATCAACTTATAAGACTATAAAAATAGAAACCAATCCTACCCAGTTCTATATAGACAGTGATATATCAATTATATATCTCAAGCAAAATTATTAGGATTGTGAGGTGGAGAAAGAAAAAAAAGAGAATGTCTCTGACTTCAGAAGATTACAACAAAGGTGAGAAAGAAAAAGCTACATATTAAACAATATAAAGACACAATTTTTAGAATTAAATACCAAATATAAAATACCCAGATCTCCAAGAACTAGATCATATGTACTACCTTTATTAACTTGGAATTTAAATGAAAATAATAGTACCTGGCAAATAATTCCAATACAATAAAAGGATTAAAATGTTAGGCCTCTTTAACCAGGAAAGTGAGAGCAAGAAGTCAAAGTGGTATCTCTGGGAGGCAATCTATTTTAATGAATGAATTTCTAACACAGAAGCTTCTGATGAGCTGGTAATTTTCATAAAGTACCAATCTTTTTTCTCTTTCTTTAAAAAAATTAACTGTGTTTAAAAAAAAAAAAAAGAAGAAGAAGAACAGGAATAATGGTTGGGGGAAAAAAAAGTCACTGAGGACAGGCTTGGTGGGGGCACAGCAGACACCTAGCCCAGCCCAGAGAAGCTGCCTCAGTCAGCATCCAGGAGTCTGCAGATTCTCCCAGACTGGCCTTGCAGTTGCTGAGTTTGCAAGCAGGAGGATACAACTGTCCAGCTGCCTCCCTGTGAGCAGCAGAGTATTGAAGCTTGTGATGTCAGAGACCAGTCTAGTTGAACCTTAGGCTTGAATATTTGATATTTAATATCTATATCCTTACTGTTCCATGTATTTAATGGACTAAGATAATTTTCTGATTCATTACAATAATTATAATACTGAAAATTTGGAAACAAGTTAAATTTCCATCAAAAGTAGTTTTAAATAAATTATAATATAATGGCACACTTTTCATCCTCAAAAACAAAATATGGGCCATCGAGAGAAGATGTGCATATGTTAACTGTAAAAGATTTTTTTAACATACTTTTCATTTGCGCAAGGCTCTAAGAATCATTGATTTAATCTATGTATTTTATATGTAAAAAAAGACATCCTGATATTCAGCTTCTCTCAAGAGGAACTGTGGATTTCTATTTATGCTCATTCATGAATAAACAACTGCTTCAAGTGTTGCATATCTGCACCCAGCAAGGCTAATTTTTTCCATTCCCTTGCATCAATGTACCTCTGATGTTCAGAGGTACATTAAAGAGAAAGTACATGCGACACTAAACACCCCTGGCTTCATGGAGTAAAAATAAAAAAAATCTGTGTCAAAAAATGGACACTGGGCCGGGCTCGGTGGCTCAGCCTATAATTCCAGCACTTTGGGAGGCCGAGGTGAGTGGACTGCTTGAGCCCATGTGTTCGAGACCGGCCCGGGCAACTTGGCAAGGCCTCATCTCTACAATAAATAAAAAGTTAGCTGGGCATGGTAGCATGCACCTGTAGTTCTGGCTACCTGGAAGGGTGAGGAAGAAGGATCGCCAGAGCCCAGCAGGTAGATGCTGGGGTGGCTGTGAGTGTGCCACTGCACTCCAGTCTGGGCAACAGAGACTCCAACTCAAAAAAAACAAATGCAAAAACAAAAAAAAACAGAGACTGTAGTATTTATTAACTCATGCCTGCACACTGGGGTGCAAAGCCTGTATTCTACACTTGTTAGGCTGTTGACTTTTGGCAAGGAACACCATTTTCATGCCTAGAGGATATCTTGGGGTTTCCTTATAGCTTTTCCACTCTGTAGCTCTATATTTTTCTTAGGCTAAAGAAAATCAATGGATATTACCAATTACCAGTATTCCATTATACAACAGTAACAGATGCTTGTGTAAGTAAAATTATTCCAACAAATTAGACTGACTGCAGTTCCAAGTTTAGAACTGCAAATAATATGCAAAGGATTAACAAGAGTCAGCCTTCCCCATTCAAGCACGTAGGCACTTATTCATTTGTTCATTCACCATTACTGAGACACCGGCACCTTTCTGGTTAGCGATGCTCAAGCCATGTAAGACGAGGAGAGGGCGAGTGCCAGGGTGAAAAGAGCTGTGATGGCACTCAGGGACGTATGATATGGTCAGTCAAGAAGGGTTAGGAGCTAATGATGCCTTACCACCTCAGGTTCCTCTGCCATGCCCATTGGCCTGTTATAAAACAAGAGCAGTTTGGTGAGGACCCACAGACACTGCCAAAGTGGTTCCTAACCTCCCACTCAGGGCCAGTCTGTCACCACCACAGCCCCCTGCTCCAAGGTCACAGGACAACTTCCTAATGCTCCTGACCTATGTCTGTAGGGGATGGTCCCAGGCTCTAGGCTACTGTCCATCTCTCACACTCAGTGTTCTATTAGGCTTCTCCCAACTTCTGAAATTTCTCTATCATACCCTTGGGAATTCCAAGTGCCCCATGATCAACAGAATCCACAGAATCCCTCAGTCTCTTCACCTTCTCACTCTAAGGAAAACACCGTCCGAAGTGGCAGCTGTTGTTTTTCTACCACAGTGTCTTGCCAAGAGACCAGAGACAAGCAAGCTCCTTCTTGATCTCATTGCTGTTTCCAGACCCCAGTCTTAATCTCTTGTCACCAGGTGACATCCTCAGCACCCCACTGCTCCTCTTGTGTTCAGGAGTTCAGTTCCTGTCTGAATAAATGCAGAGATGAGCCCTCCAGTGCCCTGCGAATCCATGCCACCTTAATCTCCAGTTCTCATAACCATCTAATCATGCCAACACCCTTTTTTTCCTGACCATCACACACTTCTTGGCACAACCTCCTATCCTTCCATCTTGCTCCCTCCAGGACTTTGATTCAAGCAATCATATGACTCTACAAAGATCTCCAATGACCTCATTTTCACCTATTCCTCCTCCTACTCCCATGTCCTCTCCTCCCCTTGTCTAACTACACAATCCATCCCTATAAGCACTGCCTCTCCTTCACTGCTTTGTCAAAATCACAACCCTAGTATATCCAATCATCTACTCTGTACCTAACACAAGTAGGTAAACACAGCTGGAGAGAAATACACAACCACGTGGACTAGTCTTACTTCAAATTCAAGGCCACAACCTTCAAGTACTAAGCAACCCTGCCTAATCCTGAGCACGTCTGCTCTGACTCCCCTAAAAGATGACTCTACAGCTTCTCCTCAAACCTCTAAGCATGTCCTACTTCCTCACTCCAGCTGCCTGCTACTCATCAAGAAAACTGAAGTCATGAGGAAAGGACAACACAAACCTCCTCCACCCACATGCCCATCTATACTCAACTCTCGTCCATCTGCCCAGCTGTAAAGGACCCCTGCCCCTCCATCTCAATAATCCCACCTCTGTACACTTGGTCCTGGTCGGACAAGTTTTCCCTCTCATCTGCATCAGTGATTTTTTTTCCTTCTCAACTAGCTCTTTTATGTAAGTGTGCAATGTAACTTTTCCAATTTCAAAACAAACTTTTTTTCGAACCCACTTGTTCCCACTAATCACCATCCCACTTGTTTTAGCAGACACAATCAAACAAGCAATCAAACACAATCAAACAAGCTGATAAAACAATCTCCAATTGTGTGCTCCATCTCAGCCAAGTTTAAGCCTCTTCTACTATACCAGAGCTATTGTTATCAGTCTGCATCCATTGGCCCATCAGCAGTAACCTGTCCACCCCGTGACCGCATGCCTCCTCCTTTGCTCAGGTCCTCCACTCCTTCCCCCTTCCCAGCTCCTCTGCCAAGCACTACTCTGGACTCCACCTCTCATGTCAACTGCCCCAGGTTCCAGTTCTTGGTGGTCCCCTACACAGACACCCTTCTTATAGGGCTGTAATCTGAATGCAAGCTCTAGATCCATCTAAATGCCAATAATCCCTCAACTTGGGCTTTGAGTGTAGACCCCTCCATCTGAACTCTCATTCAACTGCCTACTAGATACCTCCACCTGGGTGTCTAGTTGGAATCTCAAATTTAACACACTCAAAACAGAACTTTCAGTTCTCTCCCTCCTCAGGTGATGACAACTCCATCTCTCCAAATTTTCAGGTCCCCCTGGCATCATGTTTGCCTCCTCTCTTCCTCTCACACTCATCCACTAGCAAATCCTCTTGGCTCCATCTTCCAACCATATCCAGCATCGAGTCATTCTTCACTCTCCCTGAAATATACTGATCTGACCACAACCACCTGTCACCTCCTAGACACCTGTTTCCACCTCGGTTACCTTTCAGTCTACTCAACACAGCAGCAAGATGAAGCTTTTAAAACATAAACCAATCCGGGCTCAGTGGCTCAGCTTGTAATCCCGTGCCTTTGGGAGGCTGAGGTGAGTGGACTGCCTGAGCCCGCGGGTTTGAGACCCGCCTGGGCAGCGAGACCTCATCTCTACAATAAATCAAAAAATCAGCCAGGCGTGGTAGTGCATGCCTGTAATTCCAAATACTTGGAAGGCTAAGGTGGAAGGATCGCCGGACCCCGCAGGTCAAGGCTGCGGTAGCCGGGAGCGGCCATTGCACTCCAGTCTGGGCGACAGAGTGAGACTCCAACTCAAAAAAAAAACAAACAAAAAAAACCATAAACCAGGTCATGGCATTCCTCAGCTCAGACTTCTTTAATCACTATCTATCTTTCCTTAGAGTAAAACCACAGTTCTTAGAATGGCTTCGAGTCCCCACAGGACACAGATTCTGCATTTCTTCTCTATTTTTATCACCCCACTAAAAAAGCCAAATATCTTCTTTTGGTTACTAAACACCCAAGGCATGACCTTACTTAGAGTAAGCCCCTTTGTACTTGCTGACCTGCCTGCAATCTTCTCCCTAAAGCACATCACTAACGTCCTTTGACTCTCCCTTGCTCAGTAAAACCCACCCTGATCACCCTTTTCAGATGTAACCCACTCCGTCCACCTATCCTGCTAAATTTCTCTCACTGCATTGTCATCATCTAACGTGTCACATAAAACCCCTATTTATTAGGCTTATTGCCAATAAAGAATAGACTGTTTGCTAGAAAGTAAGATCATGATTCTGTGGTTATGTTCTGTCTGTTCTATTTACCAATATAACTCAAATGCCAAAGGCAGAGTAGTAGCTTAATAAATGAGCACTGGTCAGGTGCAGTAGCTCACACTTACAAATCTAGGACATTGGGAGGCCAAGGCAGGAGAAATGCTTGAGTCCAGGAGTTCGACACTAGTCTGGGCAACATAACAAGACCTCGTTTCTACAAAAATCAAAAAAATTAGCCGGGCGTGGTGTCACATGCCTGTAGTCCTAGCTACTCAAGAGGCTGAGGTAGAAGGATTGCCTCGCCCAGGAGGTCAAGGCTGTGGTGAGCCATGTTTATGCCACTGCACTCCACCCTGGGTGACAGGCTGAGACCCTGATTCAAAAATAAATTAATTAATTAAATAAATGAGTGTTAACAGATGCATAAATATATGCTTCATATAAACTGCTCAAAAACAGCTTCCACAGCTTCAGGAACATGTTTCTGTAATAATAAGATCTGCAGTTATTCAATTACAATAATTAAAAAATGGATTCGTCCAACCTTACCAGCTGACACTGAAATTAAAGGGGGACACACTGCAAAAGAAACACTCACTACTGCAAACATTCTCACCACGAGATTTACAAAGTGTAACAGCTCAGACATTTCAACTGCCTCTAATATATTCTTTACATTTCGAATGTTCTCTCAGTACTTTCCACTCAATTGTAAAACAAGAGATACATTTTTAAAGAAATGAACTTGACCCATAAAGCTAAAATTTGTCTAAGTGAATGGGGAACTAAACAAGGAAAATCCATCCTTACAAACATGAATGTGAAATTCTTTTGCCATGGCAATGGCTTCAGTGAAACTAATAAATGCCTTCAGGTGCACAGTAACCTATAATATAACAGATGCTCTTTGACTTATGTTGAGCCTATATCCCAGCAAGCCTATCCAGTGTTGAAAATACCATAGGTGAAAATGCACTTAATACACTTATCCTGAGGAACACCAAAGCTAGCCTGGCCTACCTTGAATGTGCTCAGACACTGACATTAACCTATAGTTGGCAAAATTCTCTGGCAACACAGACTTCTGCACAGTACAAGCTGTTCACCCTCATGATTGAGTGGCTGATAGGGAGCTGGGGTTGCTGCCACTGCCCAGTGTCAGAGAGTGCAAGAGTATTCTGATGCCCGAAAAGAGCAAATTTCAAAATTCAAAGTACAGTTTCTACTGAATGCATATTGCTGTACTTTCAGAAAGTTGCAAAATTGTCAGTGAAAAAAATCCTAAGTCAAACCAGTGTAAGTCAGGACCAGGCGTACTTTACAACAGTGAAGGAAAACACATACCTTGAACAGGAGTTACCACCGTCCCTTTGAAGTGCGGGTTGATATGTATGTTCTTGGGCTGCTGTGGAGTCACAGGAGGAGGGGTCATCATTATTCTTGGGGTCTCAATCTGGGGCGGCATGTGCATTCCCTGAGGCGGGGAGGGGTGATGCGAATGCTGCAAGGGAAGCAGAGGCTGTAGCTGCTGCTGCTGGAACAGACTTCGAATCGGCTGCTGCTGAGGAGGAGGCGGCGGTGGTGGAGGGGGCGGCTGTGGCTGTGGAGGAGGAATTAATCTTGGAGAATGAGTCTAAAAAATCACACACAAGAAAGAAAAATCACAGGAATCAACATTCAAAAGTAAAAGAATACTAATGCGTTACAAATTTATACTGACTAAATTTTTAAAGTTTTTATTTAAGAAGTCTGTAGAAACAACTTGTATAAAAGCATCAGGTTAAAGAAGTTGCTTCATCTATTCACAGAAAGGGCTCCTGTCTCACAACTGAGCCAATCTCAAGGCAAGGAGGAAAAAAAGATAGCCCCAAAGTCCTGGTATGAATTCTGAAAATAAAAAAGAGTTCAGTTCAGCAAACAAAACTGCCCACACTAAACAAAGCACTACGGTGGGAGCAGAAGAGCAACTGTCCTTGGCACTCCCTGCATGGAGGCCCTGCTCCCTCCTCCAGGAGGTCTGATAGGAAAGACAAGAATGTAGGCCAGTTACCCTGCTACAAAACAGAACAGGCTAAAAAAGAGACAGGTTCTATCAGGACCGAGGTGGGAATGGGGGGAATTTTTTGGAGAGGTAGTATCTGAACTCAGTGATGGAGAGGCATGACACAGAGTGAGGTTCAGAGACTCAGAAATAAGAAGGGCAGCAGAGAGTTACCTATTGGTAAACTAACGGGAGACCAGGATGGTCTCAAAAGTCACATAAAAAGAGGAAAGAATGATACAAATGATACAAACATTACACACTCGAAGAGATGTGGAGTTATTGTGTCAAACACAGTCACTGGAGAGGGGATGAACAACAGCTGCTATGTACTGAACCCGCCCCACATTTTAAATACTTATTGTAAGGTCAATACAAAAAACAACTGACCTAGCTCCCAACAATCCTATAAAGTGGGTCCCATTTAAACCTCCTTTTACCAGTACAAGTATCTGGAAACACAAGAGCTGGAATTGAAATTCAGGCAATCTTATTCCATAGATTTTGCTTTTAACCACTAATCAAACTGGCTACATAGCTAATTAGCAGCAGAACACTACTAATTCAGCTGTCTAATTTAACAAGCCATTTTCCCTGGGATGATGCCAAATTATGGAGGGCTTTTGAATTTCAAGTAAACAATCTGTTAAACCATATACAATGTGTATAATGAAGGATCACTGATTATCTCTCTGGTAGGAAGATGATCACGAACAAAAGTGTGAGATGGACTTGGTTGAAGAGGATGGAAGACAGATCACTTAACAGTCTATGGCAAGAGATGAAGGAAAGAAATGGCTAGAGTCTGATGAAGAGCAAGAAGACATTTCAGGGGAACAATGATTTTAAACTAAATTGTGTTTGGTCTTGGTCTGCCTATCATTCCTCAAGGATTCTTCCAAAGATTTTGGTACCAGTTCAAATCCACTGGCATACATGCTCCCAGAATCCAGTATCCTTAACTCACCACAGTTGTAATATGCACATTCGCTCATGAGTGCAGGAACCTTATCTATCTTATTTACCACTGTATCCCTATTGAGAGCACATTAGCAGACACAGGAACATCTAAGTTTTAATTGTACTGAGAGTAACCACAATGCATGATCATTAATTCGATGCATTAGCATAATGCACTGCACCAGCATAATTCATTAGCACAATGGCGTTTTAAGGGAAAGATCATATGTTGTTTTATACAGTGACACTGAGGGTCTGTGAAACACCATGTGCTACAGGGATAGTTGGAAAATGGAAAAACTCAACCTAGAAAGAGATTAAGCTAAAGACTAAGACACACAGAGACAGTAGATGATAGCAAAGGGAATGTTGCTAAGTAAGAACACTGATCAAAAAAGGACTAAGGACAAAATCTGGAGAAACTATGTAATTAAAGAAAAAGGTACCTCAAATTTGCTAGAAGAGTAGATTTTAACTGTTCTCAATATGAAACTATGATAAGTAATTAAGATGATGTGATAATTAGCTTGACTATATATATGTACGTGTGTGTGTGTATACACACACATCATGTTGTAACCCATAAATATATAAAATTATTTGGCAATTAAAAATCTACATTTAAAGAAAAAGTCAAAGGAGAAGGAAGACAGAATGGTTCTGGAAGATAAAAACACCCAAAACTTTGTAAACCCAAAAAAGAGTTACTCAAAAAAAGGAGCTCAGATGGCAACTCTGAGAGCACAATTCAGGACAGTGCACAGAAGAGAATTCAGCCAGCAAGGAACCCACTAAGGAGAAAATGAGCAGAAGCAAAGAGATGAGTCAAGAATATTCCTTCCAGAACTTTGGGGGCCAAGAGTCAAGGGGACAGAACTCTGGGATGGGGAGTGAATAGGATTGAGCTGTTCAGACTTGAGAGAAAACACAGGTAGGGTGAGAGTAAGTTCATTTCAGACAGCCTGATCTTTTCACCACTAATTGGTAAAGATTAGACTACTGCTCACAATCCAAAGCTGTGTTAGACTTAGAGAAGCTATATGGCTTATGCATAGTGCACAATAGGCTCTAATAGTCCACATCAGTCATATTAAAATCCAGATACAAAACATCACCATCGGGATTCAAGTCACCTGAAATTTCCATGACATTTTTTAAAAGTATTCCCACATTCTCTCAGTTCAACTTCTCCTAAGGAGGTAGGTGATGCATAGCCTTCCTCTCTTTATGAATAAGAAAACAGAGTTCAATGACTTTTCCAGCATCACAGAGACACAATGATGTGTGGGTGCTTTCCCCCAAGGAAGCCAAAGTAAGTGAACTGGCTATTCAATATATGGCAAGTGTAGACTCGGGGTGGGACAGAGGGCAGGGGAAAAAAAAAAAGAAACTGAAGTTCAAGCCTTTCTGCTATAAGAGATGCTTAAGAATAAAACAAGTGTATGAGCAAACAGCAGTCACTAATATCACCAAATTCCATATGCTATAATCAGCCTGTCTACTCCCTTTTCTTTACACCAAAAACACAATTACCATGCTAAACCAGAAATTATCTTTTCTACTTTATTTCAGTGAGTGCCTCCTAAAAAATAACATTTCTACACAGAGGCAAAATGTGGTTTTCTTCTGAACTGAGATAAAAAAAATGTAAGAGGGACATATAGTAGACACATATTTATATTAAACAAGATTTTCCTTGAAGACTGACTTCTAAGGTTTTTAAAAAGTCATAAAATCCTAAAGCTCAATTAAAAGAACAACAACAAAAAAAATCACAACACCTGACTTTGCTTCTGAGAGGTCCCATCTTTGAAATACAGAGGAAATTCTAATTCAGTTGAAGTTACAATTATCTGACTTATTCCTAAATTACTAAAAATTCGTATGGAAAGGACATAGTAATTATCTATAAGGAACTACTATTTAAGAGAAAAATCCACGGTAAACAATATGAAGGAAAAACTTTTTTACAAAATAAACAACTACTCCCTAAATTCTGTATGTGATACCTTGAGTTGTTTTAAAGGCAGTGCTCTCACAAGCACCTCTCTAGAGACCAAAGGGAGCAGTAAGGCTCTACCATGGCTCTTGTCATTTGAGGACATTAGTCATTCATGAATTCCTCCTCTGGCAACAGCTGTTGTACAGGATTAATTCTTGCTATCCATGACTGGAGGACTGAATTTCTAAGACTATGCACTAAATCAAATGATATACTATAAAGCAGAAACTTCAGCCATTGCTTCTATTACTAAACTTTAATTTCAGACTAAGAAGAAATCAATGTACAACAGGATACCCACAAGCATACTGTATTTTCATTTGTTCTAAAGTTCTAGGGCTACCACAAGAAAATCCGAAGTTACCACGACGGGAGGCTGTGCAGGAAGCAGCGCGGGTCTGTGGTCCTTCATCCTGGCCCTGTCACTGCTCTCTCTCCTCTGGTCCCCCATGCCACGACACATCAACGGGCCTCCTCGCCGTCCTCCCCGCCTGGAGCCATAGCGTCCCTGTTTATGCTGTCGCTCTCTTTCTTCAAATTCAAGTAATGCCGCTTTGGCCTCTGCTGAAAGCTCTATTTGAAAAGAGGCATATATGTTAGATACTTTCCAACAGCCCAAACTAGATTTATAGAGAGAAAACAGGAAACAAACATGTGACAATGAAACTCTGCAACAGCATGTACTGCACTCGCAGTAAATGTTGTCTAACAGTGGCAAGTATGATACAACCAGTGACACACACAACCCATGGGTGGGAACTGACCAATGAAGACAGGCTTTCCATCACAAAAAAATGTAAGTATCATTAATAAGTTTTAAATTATTTTCATTTGAGACCACTAATATGCTCTGAGTGAAGCTAAAAAGAAAGAGCTGAAGTTAAATGTAACCACTGCCCTTAATCTGTTGGGCATTTTGCAGTACTTCCTCTTTTACTGGTAGATGACACTGCTCAGGAGCGATTGCCACCAGTCCTACACCTTACAATTTTCCTACTGAAGCCAGTATAAGTATTATTAATATACAATGGCCAGAGACTCAAAGAAACAAATTCCTGACCATTCTCATTTAAAAACAAAACTATTAATGAATTCACTCTGAAGTCAAATAATTAAAGATAAATGCATAACAAATTAAAAAACCCTATCATTTCATTTCAGATTTTCATTATTTGTTTTTTAAAAACTTTACTCTGTGAAGAATTCCTATATGCATGTAGTATGCTACAGAAGCCATATCAAATGAGAGCAAAGTCACATAAGAAAAACTCATGCAAACTTTTGTGAAGCACTCAGCAGCTGCTTACTGCTCTACCCAATACTTTAGGGATGCAAAAACATGGCCTCTGGTCCTAAAAACCTCCAAGTAACATACTAGTTTAGGCTCTAAAAGGGGAAAACAAAGATTTGTCCAAATATGGTCTCTTTACAATAATATCTACATTGTTACAATAAATCCTACAAGAATAAATGCATATTTTTACAGATGTCACTGAATACCACTGAGAAGAGCCTTCTCATGCCATCGTCTCCAGTGAAGGGCAAACTTTAGATAATCCTGAGTCTACCTCCTACCTTGGATTCCATCAGCATCTCCAAACTCTTCCAAAAATCTCTAAGTCACATTCCATTTTCTTGAAATTGTCTCTAAGGTATCCCCCTCCCCTTCAAATAAATCTAGATGCCATTTGAAAGAAAATTCAATATCTTTTTAGGCAGCATAGACTTTTATTCTAATCTTGACTACAAGATTGGTTCACACACACATTTTATGCAGTGAATCAGCAATTATTTTTCTAGTGGTTCTGAGTGTCAAGATTAATTTCACTATCCTCAGTAATAAAATGGTTTCACATGACATCTTTAATCAGCAAGTAAAAAAGCTTTCCTCCAATTGAGACAAGCTGTCACAAAAGGTCACCAAAATATGACAGGATGGAAATTACATTTGTAACTTCAACTGAAATGTTAATTTCCCTTTAAGTGTTTTCTGAACTATGTCCAGATACTAAAGTAGAGATATATAGCTCAATGTAACAAAGTTTTACATTGTATAGTCCCTTTCTAAAATGTTAAGAAAAACATGTTTGCATTCAAATAATTTTATATTTGGAAATATTTATAGAACACACAATCTGCTAGGCAAATTAAATTAAAAATAACAAATGATAGTCTGAGATGTTTCAAGAGATAACTGAATCAAGAAATTTTTTAAAACCTTGCAAATTCAAGGACCACAGTATAAACCAGAACAGTAAGCTATTGCTGATACTAACAATCTTGAACTGTTTAGTACCTAAAAATATTTATCTCCACAGATCCTTTGTCTTAAATGAAATTAACCAAAGAAATTATTTCCAGAGGACATTACATGGCTGAAATAAGCAGGTTTTTCAGGTTAAAGAAACAAAAAAATAACATACTACATGCATCAATGAAACTTAGAATAACACAAAATCTGGATACCTAACTCATAGATAATGAACAAAAAAAGCCTATCTAAAATAAATGCAGTCTTTCATTTATGGTCTATACTGCTTTCAAAGACAAGCCGAGAACCGTTTCCTAGGGCAAAAGAACAGACACCTGTGAATTTCCAGAACTAACACTTGAAGGACTCTAGTCAATGACACCCCCTTTTCCAGAGATGGCTATTGGCACTTTCCTTCACAATAAATCATTCTCTTAAACACACAAGCTCTAGCAACCTGGCTCAACTGGACTCCAAGAAAGAATTCTCTCTCAGCACTTATATCCTCTGGCACCCTCTGTAGTCATGAATGAATTTACTTCCTAAGTATGTAGTTCTGTACCATCCTTGGAAAAACTGATAAAATTTGTCACATCTTTTCTTGTAAGGTTTAATTCTAGAACCCTAGTTAAGAAAAAAGCTAGCCAATTAAGATCTTAACCTAGATGAAAGCCCAAAACTCTACTTGTAATCTGATCTGAATTCAAAATACCAACCAACAACTGTGCACTAGGTTTCTTATCTGTTGAGACTATCATATGCACCAGAGTTTCTTATATGTATCTGAATGCAAAAAAAGAAAGAAAGACTAAAAATAACCAAAACTCCCTTCTGGATTTTGGAAAGAATTCACTATTTCAAATTCAAACTTTTAGGGTCAGAAATAGGGCACACCAGAGCACTATTTGGTTCTTCTTTTTAAAGAAGGTAGTGCTCTCAACATTAAACAAATGATATCACCAAGAAAAACTTGGTTTTAATAATACATATATATTCTGGTAGCAAGATATTTTAATTCCATTACAAAGAATAGACAAACAGCTTCATACAATCAAATAAATGCAATTATTTCTAAACCTGAAACTGGTATTTTGATCACTAGGAACATAAAAACTGACAGGAAAAAAACTTATGAAAATGTCTAGCTTACCAAATACTGTGGCATCCTCTCTTTTTCAATAAAAATTTCTTCAAATGTAAAATTAAGAGAGATGCTAAAGGTAATAAGAGAACTCAATGTTTTAGAAAACCAATTTTTGATGAACAAATCATTTTTATGTTGGGAATAATTCAACTATGCAATTAACAGAAAACTCTTGCAGCTCAGCATTAAGCATTCTTCAGTGAGTACTCACAAATACTGCGCAGAAAAGAATCTTTTTAAGTACTATCTCACTTGCCCTATTACCTAGCCAAACAATTGCATTTTAAATGCAGCTAAGTCCCTTTTTAATGTTTAGAAGACTGGTAAGTAGTCAAGTAGTTTATGCTTAAAGCCACTCTGCCTCTAAGGACATCATCAAACCCCCACCTAGAAAGGAGGCAAGCTGCCCACCATAAACCAACCCTTCCAGACTCAGCATTACATGGCTATAAAACTGCCAGATGCTTCAAAAAGAAAAAGATTTGATGCAAAGTTATTTAAATAAAAGTACAAATGACCCTGGAAAGAATAAAATGAGAGAACGGTACTGAAAAGAAAGATGAAACAAACAAAAATTATAAACACAGTCAAGTTGGACAACATTTCAGAATAAGGATATAATCAGTGCTAGGGTTGAGGGGTGAGATGATCATGGCTAGAGGCCAAGGAATTGGGTAGAGGTAGAGGTATCATGGGTCAGGAGAGGGTGACAAAGAAGAGAGAAGATGATCCATGACATCTACAGTGGTCCTAAGGGTACTGACTACAGAGATAAAGATTTCCATTTGTAATGTTGGCTATCAAGTGATTTAATACTCCTAAAACTTACAGTGACCTATGGGCACTCTCAGTTTCTATGCTTTTATACACAGGTTTAAAATGTATGCAATCAAAGCCACAACCCAGATGAGACCCAATACAAAGAAGCAAAAGCGACAACTAACCACCTCCTCCTCCTTCCCTCTACAGCTCCCTCTGCAGTTCAAGAAGGGCCCTGTGCCTGCTCCACAGCTGTTGCTCCACAATGCTCTTTAGTGTTCAGTCAGAGATGGGAGATCCTTCCTTTGTTCATCCCATCCCAATCCAAGACTGCTGTATTTTTGCTTGAATTAGCCTGTTCTACGACGTTATCAATCACATCCTTCTGTTTTAAAATTTTTCTCCATCTCCTTTTACCCAAAGCAAACTTCAGACCCTATTTCTTAGAAACGTATGATGTTTCTAAGAAATCTGGTTCAGACCAACTGACAACTTTATACCATAGCCTGAGAAAAATCTCTAGGGAAATCTTGTATCAAAAGGTGGAGAAGGAAACTGCAGCAGAAAGAAGGAGAGAACACTAAGTTCCAATGTCTCCCTAAATCCTGCTTAGTAAATTAACATTATAAGACTGGCTCACTATTGTTAACCTGTGTACCTTGGGAGCTAAGTGTCCTACCACAGAATTTGCATCTGCTTTTAAAGATACATGCTCATGCTTGGACTAAAACAATTATAAATGATGATTTTTAAGAAGTAATAAATGTAGTAACGAGGGTTAGATCTTGATTTTTATCTAGACCAACACCAGATAACAGGTAGAACCCCTCTGTCCTTCTACCCTCTCACCCCACTCCATAGGAGAACAACCGCCCCACCCCCCACACCCTACCAGTGGTTCTCCAAACACTGGTTCTGGAGCAGCATCTCCTGGGAAATCATTAGAAATTCAACTTTCTTAGGCTCCACCTGTATCTAACGAATCAGAAAAGCTGGGAGTGGGTCAGCAAGTTTGTGTTTTAACAAGCCCTGAGAGATTCTGATACTCAAATTTGAGAACCACTATTTTATTATGTGCAATGGACACTGGGAAAAACTGTCTAAGGAAGGATAGGATCACTACTGAAAAAGGCTCTCTGTTAATCAGTAATAGATCTTGAAAAGCAAGGTTTGTGCAGAATGACATTCGATTAATTACTCCTATAAAGAGTCAAACTATCTTACAACACACTGAAAAGACACAGCAGAAAACAAACCAAAAAAAATAGCTATGAAGACACTAAAAACTACAAAAAAAAAAACCAGTCTGGTCCAGAATTAGTCCCGGCAACCTCGGGGGTCTTGGAAAGGGTCATATGGCCTTGTAGCTACCATCCCCATGCCACCGTCTCAAGACCAGTCAGGAACTGGTCTTGGATGAGAGCAGATCAAAGCCACAGACTCAAAAAAACAAAAAAACTATTAAAATTATCTTAAACATCTTATTCAAATATTTTTAATTTAAAAATGACAGTTGTTTTATAGAATGACTCGGCAATGACATCACACAGACCATCCATCTCTGGATGGTAGCCACAATTACCTACAGTCACCGTTTTTTGGTACTGGTTAATTACAGCAATACCACAGAGGATGTTAACATGGGAGTGAAGAAGGATGGGAGACAGGCAAAAAAAGTTACCCAAAGTTTCTGGAATGTTCCTTCTCTCTCTAGTGACATCTGAGAGCCTAATAATTGTTCCTTCTTTCCTTTCGGTTTTGAAACGTAATCGTCCAGATTCTTCATCATCATCTTCTTCTTCATCTGATTCTTCTTTTATGTCTTTCTGAAGTTCCAAAGTTTCCATACCTCCCTACATTGCAGACATACAAGACAAAGGGGAAAGAGAATGAGCTCATATTCTTTTGAAGTACATAGTGAAGAATGCTAAAATTTTTTAATTTATATTCAAGATGTAAAACATTCTATGAAAAGGATATGCAAACCACTAGACCCCAGAAGAAAATAAATCAAACATCAAAAAACTCAAAACTTCAGTTCCTGCTTGCTATTAACATAAAGTCCTGAACTTTGTTGCTACTTACACTTCTGAGAGAACAAATACAAATTTCAAAAATTCCTACTGCCTATGACCTCAAGTTCAATACAGATCACAGCAAAGTTCAATATATTAATTAAACCAACATGGGAGTTCTATAAGCTTATTAAAATAACCCACTTTATAACATACAGGCCCCCTTAAAGCCAGACAAGCCATCCTAATCTGCTGTTGAGTTTGCTACTGTTGTTATAGTATTCCAGTCTCCAGAATCTTTTTCATCATTCTCATTCCTTTCGATTTCATTCTCATTGTCTAGAGTGAACTTATCACTACCTTTCACTGAGATTATTGAAAGAACAAAACTTTTTCTTCAGTCTTGTCTTCATATTAAAACCAGCTTTTATCTTAAATTTTATTACATCAGCATTCCCCACACAAATTGTTCCTAACCTTACCCCAAACTAAAAGTAATTTCTTCATGGACGATTCTTACTGCTAAGTATCACTCATGTCCCAACTGAAACAAGTCATTTCTCACCTCAAATCATTCCCAGTGAATCACTCTTAAACATAAAATAGGCACCTACTAAATGTGAGGTTGATTTAAATACTTCTATAAGTTTAAAGGAAAGCGAATGCCTTTGCCCCTTTATTCTTATTATTTATAATTTTGGAACCTTCTTTACTCTTAATAGAAATAAAAATTAACAATTTTATTACAAAATGAACAGGAAAAATTAAAATAAACCAATGACACGATCATTTTGTATTCTTGCCTTCCTCAACATTTTCTATGTAAAAAAATCAACTACCAACGCACAAATTCTTTACTATAAGTCCTACAAGTGGAAATAAATCTTCAGTAGCTTCAACACCTGAAAATAAAAGGATAACTGTAAACTATGGCCTGTATCTTAAGCCCAGTAACTGCAATACCTCCTTTTCAGTATTCTGATGTTTAGCACATTGCAGAACTTTAGAGTACCAAAATCTCAGTATCTTTCATCATTTGATACCACTATTTCTGTACTATTGAATATTTGAAATCAGAATAAATGACAACTACTGCACCACACTTTCAAACGGAACAAAGATCAGCTTCCTTAGCAAGTCTCTTCTCTACTTCCATGCCACTCCAGAGCAGCACTCCTCCAATTTAATGCCTACAGCAATCACTGGAAATCTTGTTTAAAAGATTCTTACTCGGCGGGGGCGGCACTGGGGCTGGCATTCTGTAGCTCTAACAAGCTCCCAGGTGAAGCCCATGTTGCAAGTCTGCAAACAGTAGTAACAAGACCAGAGAGGAGGAAACGAAATCACCACCCACAAAGCAAAGATTCTACTACAACAGTCAGTTTTACTCCTATTATTAATTGTGATTACAGTTCGAAGACTTTCCAAACACATTTAATGTAAAACATGACAGTACTGAAATTAATATAGTTTATTCTGCCTCCAAATCACCATCAAAGAAATCTAAAGAGCACAAAGGTGAGCTGGAAATTATTTTTTTGAAACAAATACTACAGCCCACCAGGAAAACAAACACCCAGCAATTCCACTTCTAGATATTTACTAGAGAAATGATACCTTACATTCAAATAAAAACCTGTAGGAAAATGTTTACAGTTCTATTAAGATCCCCAAAAGTGGATACACATAAATGCCCTTCAATGAGTGAGTGAATGAATACACAGATACATCCAAATCATGAATGTTACAGAGCAATAAAAAATAATAATCTGTTGATACAACTGGAATGAAATCACAGAGGCATTATGCTGAGTGGAAGAAGTAAATCTCAAAGGTTATACACTGCAATGATTCCATTTACATGACATTTTCCAAGAGACAAAATTATAGTGATAACCAGTGATTAGGAGTGGAGGAAGGGCAAGACGACAAAAGCACAGAACAAGGTAGTTTTCTGAGTGATGGAACACTCCTTGAATGCAAACTTCTGGCCCAAATCTTAGGGACCAGTTAAGCCTGGAACATCAAGGATTAGATAAGTCCTAGATTGACACTGACACCCAAGCATGGCTGACACCACTTGCTCAACTGCAGACCATTTGATAGCATACGCTTAGTTACTTCTTTAGCCAATGAAGAAATACTATAACCTTATTCTAAATACAGGGCTTTAAAAAAAATGATGCATCTCCCTTGGCCATGTGGTTTATAAAATTAACTAACCTATCTGCCAAAATATTTACCTTCTATCTAGTTTTCAATAAACACTACCTGGCATTTCATTCACAAGCCAAATTCCACTAAAAGGTTAGTGTTGGATTGCAATATAAAAATCAAATTATCCTAAGATTAAATCGCATAAAATTTCAAGCATGTAAATATTTCATTTCATTTACAGACACTGTCAAAAATATTCAAAAGCTTGATCTTTAGCTACTGATTTATTTTGAAAACCTGAAAGACTTAATTCTTAATAAAAGAAGCATATGAAAGTACTCAAAACATAGAAGTCCACCTAGGCCTTATCATGTATATATATTCTAATTCTAATATATAAGAATTTAATGAGATACATATCTCATTAGAATTAGAAACTCTAATGAGGAGCAAGAATCAGACCTGTATGTATTTTAATGATCTCCAGCTAACTCTGAAACTTAAATTGACTATCAACACAAGCACTAAGATACTCCCCAAGAGGAAAGGAAAATTTGTGGTGGAACAACTAGATAAACACATGAAACAAACTGTATCTCACACCACAAACACACACATAAGTTGAGATAGATCAGTCTTAAACTAAAATTAGCTAAAGCTTTCAGAAGAAAACAAGATGATAATGTCTTTGCAGCTTTGGAGCAGGGAAAGATTTCTTAGATCACAAAATTCCTTAGTTGTCTTCAAAATTAAAATTTTCTGCTCACGAAAAGATACATTTAAGAAAAAGAAAACTCAAGTTACAGGCTCATATTATATTCATATTATACTCATGATACATGTATCTGCCAATGGACTTGATATCCAGAATATACAGACAACTGTCTCCATCTACAATATTACCAGTATGTATACATACATATATTAACATATCTACATAAAAAAGATACAGTCTCTATGTAGAATATATATGTACAGACAATATGTCTTCTCTTTGAAGAGTATCTAGACTATATATAGCATAGACAAAAATAAAGACAATCTACTTATTTTTTTAAATGACAGACTAAATCTGGACTCAAGGAAAATATACAAAACTCCAAAAGCACATGGGGTGGTGCTCAATATCATTAGAGCACAGAGAAATGAAAATTAAAATAGTAATAACACACTCACTAAAAAAACTAAATGAAGAGATGAACAACACGAAATGATGGGGAACAATGGAAATGCTCTTACATTACTTTGGAAAACCAATGGGTGGTTTCTTATAAAATTAAACATGCCTCTACTCTGCCTCAACAATTCTGCTACTAAGTAATAGCCAATGAAACAAAGACATACCCACAAAAAGATGTCCAATATTATCTTTATAGTAGCTTTATTCATAACTATACTGGAAACAACCCAAATATCTATCATCACAAGAATGAAAGAGGTAGATCTGTAAAATGAAATAAACTATTAATATACACAACTACCTGGATGAACCTCAAAAACATGTTCAACAAAAGCCAGACACAAGAGTACATATTGTATGACTGTTTTTATATAAAATTATAGAATAGGAAATCTCAACTTAGGGTGATAGAAATAAGAGTTTGCCTCTAAGGAGTCAGAAGTGGAGAGAATAAAATAGGAAAGAACATTCTGGGGTAATGGAACTGTTTCTTATCAATAGAAGGATGGTAACTTGAATGAATACATATATCAAAATTTACTATACACATTTTATCTATGCCTATCCCTAACTGTAAATGGTACCACGATCTTTAAAGTATTTTAAGCTATACAGATTTTTAAAAACTTCTTATTTCTTCCTCTATACATGCCAAAACTATCTTATAATGGCAACTTTTGGAGGTTTCTTTTGCCTATACCAGCTCTGGCATGTCTCCCTTTTCTTTTTTTCTCTTCTTTCTCTAACAAACTTTGTTTAAAAAAAAATGGCAGGTTTCTTTAAACTATGTTAGAAGAAAGACAATTGCAAAACTAGCACTAATACTGTAAAGGATTGCTATTTAGTCTTTATAACTAGATCTAATTTGTTTTAAGTATAGTGATTTCTTTGTACGAATCAAGCAAGAACATTAAATAAATAAAAGTAACCACCTAAAACAGGCTTTGAAATTAAAATGAATTGTTTTTCAGTTGCGTAATTCAATTTCAAATACAGACCTTAACACAGCTCCTAGAATGAAGCCATCTAGAAAACTGCAACACGAATTCTTCCTGTCCTAAGCAATCCAGAGCAAGGAATGCTGTGACAGAGAGCCATGGGATGGTCAATGACAATGTATATATTTAAGAAAAGGGGGCAAAGAGCTTGGAAGATACCAAAGCATAGGCATATGTGGCACATTAAAACTGCTGCTCCTCCCTAAGGTCTATATAATTTATCTACATGTCCAAAGATGGATATCATCAGCCCTCCAAAATCAAAGCTAACAGAAGGTACTGAAATAGTAAACAACACCTACTTCTCGGCACCTAAAATAGTACTATGCACACAAGTTCTCAATAATTATCTTTTTGACTAATAGTCAGTAATTCTACTGTAAGAGAACAAACCCAAAACATCTGTTGCTACAGGAAAAGACCAGCACATCATCTGACTCCAATAAGGTCTATTAAAAGTCCTAAGAACAAAGAGCATTAAAAAAAATTAAGTCAACACAAAAACAAGCAACATAAACAAGGTAAACTGAAACCAATCATCAAAGAAAGAATAAATGCAAAAGGAAGAAAGTAAATGTATAAACAGCTTGTAAAAATATTTGTACACACTAAATTTAAAATTAAATCACGGGACATAATGTTTAAAAGGAAAAATAATAATATACCTCCTAGCACTTGGTATTTAAAAAATAAAATATTTAATCTAGATGAGATCTTATTTTGTGCTCTTAAGATTCATATTGAAAAATAACTTTAGGAAGTTCCATGTGAGATTTAACAGCAACAAGAAATCATAGAAGTGAAACTATTGTAACCTCTAGCTATTTGCCTTCCAAATTAAAAGATCAAAATTTTAACCACCTTATGTTTCCCTGTTTCTTCATGTTAAAAATAAAAATGAGGATACTGCTTTACTTATGAAAGTTATCTTGCTTATAGTAAATTTTTGTTTAAATCAGAAAATACTGGAATACAGAGACTCAATAATCCCAACCATCTAGAGGTAATAATTTTAACTATTTTCATCTCTGTTGATCCAGATTTTTTTTTTTTTTTTTGAGAACTACACACATATATTTAGATACGCAGTTACAGGGGAACTTAAGGGGAAGAATTTTATTATCTTGCTCTTTTCACTTCATGTATCATGAGCATCTTTCCATGTCAAACATAAAGCTAAGGCAACATTTGGTATTTGCTCTACTGTGAGGCTGGACCATGATTTACTTACTCTATAAAAATGTACACTGCTCCATTTTCAATGCTACAAACAAATACCTGGTCTGCATAGCTTTGAATACACCTTACATTAATTCTTTTGGATAAATCTGTCAAAGAAGAATTGAGTCAAAGGACAAGTATTTTAAAGCTTCTGATACTGACAAGAACAGTGAAGTACAGTTCCATTTTTTTAAGCTGGGTCTGATCACAAAAGTCCCTCCAATGACCCTTGCTCACCCTGTCCCTCTCCCTTCCTCTCTCTGGCTCTCTGTCTGTCTCACTCTGCCTCACTCTCTCCGGGCTCCCTTCTCTCCATCCCTGCCTCCCTCCTTCAGTTTTTCTCTCCCTCTCTCTCTCTCCTTCTTCACCACCCTCCTCCATGTCCCCACCTCCCTCCCCTGCAGGAGACACTGAAAAATGGGAGGTAAGATCATCATTTTAAAATAGTAGCCCACCTTTGTTTTAATATTTTAATGAATACAGTTTGGGAATTAAAGTTCCTATTGCTTAGATCCAGAAGCCACACCCTGTCACTTCCAGAAAGCACCCGGGCAATGGTAATACTTCACATTCTTATTCTTTAACCGCTTTACAATACAAAAATTTATAATTCCAGATGTCATCTGAAGACTGAAACCTACAAAACATTTCCCTATTTCAAAAGATACTACAAACACGATACAGTATCAGAGAAAAGAGAATAGTGTTTTCTAAAAAAAGCTAAAATAGGTCAGGAGAGGTGGCTCAAGTCTGTAATCCCAGCACTTTGGGAGGCTGAGGTGAGGGGATCGCCTGAGCCCAGGGGTTCGAGACCAGCCTGGGTAACCTGGCAAGACCTAGTCTCTACAATAAGTCAAAAAAATTAGGCCAGGCTCGGTGGCTCAGCCTGTAATCCCGCACCTTGGGAGGCCGAGGTGAGTGGATTGCCTGAGCCTGCAGGTTCGAGACCCGCCTGGGCAACTTGGCAAGACTTCATCTCTACAATAAATCAAAAAATTAGTCAGGCGTGACAGCCCACGCCTGTAATTCTGGTACTTGGAGCTGAGGCGGAAGGATCGCCGGAGCCCAGCAGGTCAAGGCTGCAGTGGCCGGGAGCGGCCACTGTACTCCAGTCTGGGCAACAGAGTGAGACTCCAACTTAAAAAAAAAAAAAATTAGCAGAGCATGGTAGCACAGGTATGCAGTTCCAGCTAATTGGAAGGCTGAGGCGGAAGGATCCCCTGAGCCCAGCAGATCGAGGCTGTGGTGGCCATGGGTGTGCCACTGCACTCCAGCCTGGGCGACAGAGTGAGATGAGACTCCAGCACACACACACAGTGAGATGAGACTCCAGCACACACACACACACGCACACACAACTAAATTATAGGGCTAATAAAAATCAAAATTAATTTTCCAACTTTGAAACACCACAAACTAATAAAAGGGACATGAAATTAATGGGTAACAAACTCCTCTGCTTCCCTCTCAACTATTTACCACCTGGAATGCTCTTCAGGCAGCCTCCTGTTTACCGCCTCCTCCCTTTACTGACTTTTTAGACTGTTCTTAGGTGTCTTCTGTCTAAATTACCCTTTTACCCGGTTTGACTGAGGCTGGTACCAGGTTTGTACTAGGGAGAGAGGTACAAAATACAGGGTGAAAAAGACATTCCTAACCTCCCCCAGTTTTTAATATCTTCTTTAGCTTTGTTTTAGTTCCCAGGACTAAACACATTCTTCTACTGCTAGAGAATTTGGGGAAGGAGTTCTCTGTACAATTCCTCTATATTCTAAGTTTCAAATTATTTCAAACACGAGAGAAAGAGACAGAATACATCCAGGAAATGTTTCTGTTTTGTATTGAATAAAGCATTTATCTCCATGTACTGTCATAGTATTATTTATATTAGGAGGAAAAGGGTAAATAAAATGTTTTATGAGCCAGGCTCAGTGGCTCAGCCTGTAATCCCATGCTTTGGGAGGCTGAGGTGAGTGGACTGCCTGAGCCCGTGGGTTCAAGACCCGCCTGGGCAACTTGGCGAGATCTCATCTCTACAATAAATCAAAAAAAAATTAGCCAGGCGTGGTAGCGCACGCCTGTAGTTCCAGCTACTTGGAAGGCTGAGGCAGAAAGATAGCCGGAGCCCAACGGGGGCTCCAGTCTGGGCGACACAGTGAGACTCCAACTCAAAAAAAAAAAAAAAAAAAAATGTTTTATGAACTAAGTATCTAAAGCCTTGGTGTAACACCTAAACAGCCTAAACCAGTAAATACCAGTTTTCATGAAATCTTGAAAAAAGAGGGACTAGGGTATTAAGGAAAATTTTTAAGAAAATTAGCAAGTCCTCAGGCTAAAGAATGCTTTTGTGGCTCACATGCTTAGCCAACAGGAGGCTAGTCCGGGGGTTCAAGAACAGCAACAATCGAAACATATGCTTCAGCCCTCTCCTAGTTTGAATGACATTTATCTTTCAACACCTAGAAAAGCTGACTCTTCCGTAAAGTCTCCCTGCCTTCCAGAAAGCCCCAACCTCTTCTCCCCACAGGCACAGGGCGTCCTTGTTGAGTTCCTAATACTGTGTCTGAGCTTCTCTTGGAAGGAAGGTTTTACTTTTTCTGTTTTTACATCACAGGAATTTACACATTTTTTTTTTCTCTCCTACATCAGACTTTCATTTCCTTGAGGACAGGAATCAAGCTTCATCATCCTCGTTTCTTCAGCACCTAAAACGGCACCCAAATACAGGTAACTTTACGTTATTTTTTGAATAATGGTCCAACTTAACTAATGTTACTAATTAAAAATTACAGCATTGCTTTCAAAGCACTAACATATACATCATATTTGTGAAAGATTTCTCCCACACCCCCATAAAACATTTAAAACACTCCAACACTTAAAGGGCACGTGCTATCTGGAAATCAGCACACCAGAACTCACTTCCCAAAGAGTCTAGAAAGCTCAAGTTTTTTTACAATACTCATAATTCAAAGAAGAGATGTATCAACTTTTCACTAATGCTAAAAAGACACTCATTTTAAGTCTGGGGGGTAAAAACCAGCAAACTTTTTGACTCTTGTTAAAAGATGAACAAATACCTCTTCAGTTTCAGGAGCAACCTGGGAATCAGTAATCTCATCTAATTCATCTTCAGCAACATAGTCTTCCTGCTCTTGCAGCCCTTGTTGCCCACCATAAGCCTGTAAGTATTCTTCATCCTAACAGCCATTAAAGAGAAAACAAGTTTTTCTCACACAGCTTTGGGGTGTTTACTTTTTAAGCACTTTTCCTCTTGATGATTCATGCTTAATTATTTTGGAAAATTGTACTATAATAATTAGCCGACTGAGCACAAAGTACTAAGCACAAAAAGAGAATGCAACCTCCTCCATGTTAACACAAACAAAGGACATCATGCTAACCCAGGTGCAAAGGTTAAATGGTATGGGTTCTGTTTCAAACTCCAAGTACCCTGTTAACACTGAACTTCTTCCAATCAGTAAGGAAGGAAAAGCAATCTTCAAAGAGAGCTCAGAGAAGAGCGTAGCAGCACAGTAAGGGGCCTGAAATCATATCCAACTCTTACCATTTTGATGGCAATATAAGACAACAAAAGTGTGGGCCATGAAACATATGAGCTTTTAAAAAATCACATTTAGTATGAGTTTCTCCACTGGCCCCCTCCCTTGAATGTGAGATAGATTCCAAGTTTTTTATGAAAGGGGTAAGAGGCATGCATGCAGGCAGGTGTCCCTTCTGGGCAGATGGAAGGAAGCAGGCAAGCTGGCTGGAGATAACAAGACAATCACACTGCAGAAAAAGAAGGGTTTCTACTGATACTGCTAACAAGCATCAAGATCTGATCCTACTCAATGGGAGTGGACTTCCCAGTGTGCCCTAACACTTGCTAAAAATGAACAATAAGATGGTTATAACACAGACAACCTTCAAAGAATGAACAACCTACAGAAACTTAACTACTGACGGTCTCATCTAGAACCCCTAAAGAAAGCAGTTGCATTTACACTGACAAACCACCTTAGTTCCCACAACTGCTTCACCAGATAATTCAAATACACTGAATTTTATGTTCCTGAAGAAATTGTTGGCATCCTATCACATGAACAACTATCACTACCTATGAATACTGATAGCAGAATGGTCCGATTTCAAATAAAGCCAGATAATGCTAATCAAAATTTTTAGCCAATATACAATGGAGTATAGGCTATACCACTGGATCCTCCCTGGGAAACAAAATCTGTTACCCTTTACATAAATTGCCAATCTGCAATTGTCCTTATAGAACAATGTTTCATGAAATTTCAATCTGTAATAATTTTTAAAGCCCTATGTTTGATTGACTAAAGCAATATACACTCATACTAATACAAGATCACAAATTTTAAAATGAAATCACAATTCACTCTCAAGAACAGCACCAGCAAAATTCACAAACTTAAGGATATTTCTTTGCAAATAATGAGAAAAAAAAAGACCAGAGTTGTATTACCAGCTCTTTTAATGTCTTTGAGCCTCCCCTTCTTCACAGGGAATAGTGACCCTTAAACTGTAAATTCTGTGGTTTTATAAATCTCCCAGTTATGCACTAAAGCCCCTCCATGGACTCCAACAAAAAGAATGTGCTTGTGATTCACATTTCAGTGTTCAAGTCTGGTTTTAGAGTATGGGTTAACAAACCCTAACTATAGCAAGGAACCAGTTACATAAGCCATCTAATAAACTAAAATGCCGCTAGAATATATGGGAATACAATCTACACAGGGGTTTATTAGTCTAATGATGAATAAATAATCTGTATCAGTGATTTAGTGATATCCTAAAATGACAGTGAAAGAGCACCTCCATTCCAAGCAAGACAGGAGTACTGCAGTTGTGCATCTCGTTCTCTCCAAAGTGGTCATCTCAGACCATTCAGGCACTACCATTGTAATAGGTATAAAAGAAAAGAATGACCATGGCTGTAACATTTAACTAACATTCAGACATTTAACTACTACCTCTTACCTTTAGAGTTTACAACTGTTTATGGAAATATTAAAACACTTTCAGAATTTCTAACTTTTTTTTTTAACTGTAGGGTTTTGTGGGGGTTTTGGTTCTGAAAATTTAATTAATTTTAATTTAGAATACTGTGGGTATTATTAAACTGCCACATTTTTTTCTTCCCAATACCTGAATCTTAGCCCATAGGATGTTGGAAGGCTGGGCTTGGTGGCTCAGCCTGTAATTCCAGCACTTTGGGAGGCTGAGGCGAGTGGATTGCCTGAGCCCGTGGGTTCAAGACCCACCTGAGCAACTTGGTGAGACCTCATCTCTACAATAAATCAAAAAAAATTAGCTGGGTGTGATAGCACACGCCTGTAGTTCCAGCTACTTGGAAGGCTGAGGCAGAAGGATCACTGGAGCCCAGCAGGTCGAGGCTGCAATGGCCGGGAGCGGCCACTGCACTCCAATTTGGGTGACAGAGTGAGACTCCAACTCAAAAAAAAAAAAGATGTTGGACAATTATAACTGTTGGAGTTTATTACATCTCTGGCCTATGTGAAACCTCAAGTTTAAGAACAGAGTATAAGAGAGGGAATTATCTCAATTACTAGAAATGTTCTTCACAACAAACTCTCTGCAAGAATGCCATAGTGAGAGATGACTCCTGTGTGGCCATGCACATTCATTCTATCAAACACTTTCCATGCTATGATCTGTCCCACTAAATTCTAAGTTCACGGGCAGGGCCCATGTTTCATATTATGTTTTAGCAGTGTTTGTGTCCCCAGTGCTTGGAATCACAGGGGATAAGGATCGCAGAAATGATTAGCCAATCATTTCATTTTGCTGATGAGTAATAGAAATAATGAAATATTATAACTAGGCAGATTTCTAAAAAATCTTGTTTAATTTTTAAAAAGCATTTTAAATTACAGTGTATCATTTTAAGAAAATATACAGGCTGGGCTCGGTGGCTCAGCCTATAATTCCAAAACTTTGAGAGGCCGAGGCAAGTGGATTTTCTTTAACCTGCGGGTCTGAGATCAGCTGGGGCAACTTGGTGAGACCTCATCTCTACAATAAATAAAAAATTAGCCAAGTGTGGTAGCACGCACTTATAGTCCTGGCTACTTGGAAGGCTGAGGCATAAGGATCACCGGAGCCCAGCAGGTCGACCCTGGAGTGGCCGTGAGCATGCCAGCCTAGGTGACGGAGTGAGACACTAACTCAAAGAAAACAAAACACAGACACACACACACACACACACACACACACACACACACACACACACACACTATAAACCAAAAGGCACCTGTCCACATTAGCAATTTATTACCAATATAAATCATGTCAAAATAACAAGTCTCCCATGATGCTTTTACATGATTCTATTTATTAAAACTACAAACATTTTTTGTTACCATATATATTGAAGAGCAAGCATTCAAAAAAAATTCGAATCTTAGAACTATTGAAACACCTTAATACAATCATGACTGGAACTAAATATTCTAAGGTTCCACATAAACAATCCCTCTCCAAATCACCATTACGTAGATACAATTTTTTTTTTTACCATTTTTCTGAAATGAAAGCCTACTCTGAATTAAAACATAAACAGATAAAAGCAGAGCTACTTTTCCTGCAAAGGGGCCTTTAAGACCCCAACTCTGCACACTTCCATCCTAATCCCAGCATCCACATTCACACTCTGCTTCAACAGGACCCTGGCGTTCCTGAAAACCCTAAAATTCTAGTACAACTACTGAGAACACATCCTTCCCTTATAAATTTCATTACATGCTTCTTTTAACAAGTCTCTTTCTATGACAAATCATTAAAAGAGATGAGCCATCTTAACACCGGTATCTTTTTTTTTGATGGTCCTACTTAAAAAAAAAAAAAAAAAAAAAAAAAAAAACCTACCTACCAAAACCATTTTTTTGAAATAAAAATCGGCACAATCTTTGCATTCCGATTATAGATAACAAACGATATGTGACATCTCCTAAACTAACCTCCAATCTCTTTATTCAGGTTTAGACAGTCCTCAGTTACAAAAAAGGATGAATGAACAGGACATCAATCACTTTGGAATATTAGCACCTTAAAGATGTCTTTAGCAGGTCAATAATCTTTTCACCTTAGAAGGACTTTATCAGATCTTGTCTAAAGCCTGGATAAAAGCTCTGCATTAAGTACTTCTAACAATTGACAGTGTATCTCTACCACACAAAGCTGTTTTCTTCCTTAGGGTGCAATCCTCAAGGTCACAATTCTTTGCAGCCTTCCAGAATGACAAAGGAGCATTACCTCTGGCCAAACAAGCTGTCAACACAAACTTTGTCATAGCTCAGATAAAGAAACTGGCAGACAGTGATAATAAGGTCTAATTTCCCTCCATCCCAAGGGAGGCAAATAGATTTCAAATCAGTCTAGAAACCTATGCATGAGAAGCCAGGCTATCTTTGGTCATACAAAGGAGAAAAGACTCACTGTAAATTCATCTAAAGGTTCATTGATTTCGATGTCTAACACTTCATCAGTGTAAAGTTGCTCTTCCTCTGGCTCTTCCACATATTCTATTTGGTCTTCCGTCAACTCAGCATCGTGGCCTTCATACTGTCCTTCTTCTGGGTACTCTTGAGGATACAATTCTGATCCATCAGATTTGTGATAAACTAGTTCATCTTCTCCTTGTTCATACTCAGATTCCTGTTCTCCAGATTGGTCATTAGTGTTGTCAGACAGTTCAAATGATGCAACCATGCCAGATGTGGTATTAAGACTAACTGTGACACCCTGAGAACTAGAGAGGATAGAAACACAAAAACAGGAGCCCAATGAGAGTAGAGCTCAAAACTCAATCATTATATAAATTAGCTGTCACAAAGATGTAAAAACCATGA